CTGACCGATAATCAATGAGAGTCGCCCGGTGACAGAACTTTCTCGTTGCAACGATAAACTCGTAACGATGCGCCGGGTCCCCTATTTCGACGAGTTCGCCAAGGCTTACCTAGATACGACTTCTTGCAACACTCTACTCGTAGATAGTTGTTCAGATAGTCGAACACCTCAACGCCCATCTTTTTCTCCCTGGAACAAATATCGAGCGGGCCGCGGGAGAGGCCTGCTTGCTCGCGGAAGTCAGGTCGTCGACGACGAGGCTCTTCTCACAGAGACACGTTGGCGCGCACTGACAGTGTACACAGATAACACAAATGTCCACCCCGGATCGATATACCCAGATACCGGCTCGCCCGACTTCCCTCTTTCACGCCTCTACTCGCGCACCCCCGGAACTGCGACGCGAAGATCCACTCGCAATTGGTTTCGATGCCGGTCGACGTTTGATTTGTGAATTTCTCCTATCAAATTAATGTAAAAGGACTTTCTCCGAGCGGAGCAGCTGATCTCGAACTGCCCGATCTACCACCCGAATTCGTTTATGCGACCCCACTTATGTTCTTGTTCGAGCAAGATTTTTCACCCTTCATTGGCGCATGCGTATTTCAGTACGAAACCAGATTTTGCGCATCGCCCTTTGCCTTAGTGCATTTGTATCAAGAATGCAGCTAATATCAACACGAAAATTATTTTGTAAAACACTTAAATATGATGATAATATTGCAAAAATGTTTGATCTAACAATCAATTTGAACATCGTATATGATAATTTTGAAAGCCCAACAAAATTGTTTTCAGATCTGTATCTAGCCAAATTTTTAGATTTGCCAGCAAAAGTGTTTTTTCCGAGTAGAGCTGATTGCATCGATACAAAAAAGTCTTATTTCGATATTATCGATTTTAATTTTAATAATGGTCTTTTGGTCAATTCGGAATTAACTTTATTTTTATTAAAATAAAAATATTTCAATAATTGCCGGACGACTAAAAATAGATTAAAAATAGATTAAATAAACTAAAGTAAAGAATAATAGAATTTTTTAAATGCATTTAAATAAAGTTCTATTATTCCCTTAAATTTAAAAAAATCTTTTGTAGAACTTTCAGTTAAATTTTAATCAATTTAAATATTTAAATTCTTTACAATAAAATATTTACGTTTAAATAACATTCTGTAAAACTATATATGAAATAAATTTAATTATCAAATCACTGTTATTAGATATGAGTGATCGGAAAAATGATATGAATAACTTTGAAATAAATTAAATCTTGATCTGGATGTTTGTAAATTCTCGAAACATTAATAAAAAACAATAAAGCCGATCGAATCAGCATGTGACACGATCATGATGATGAACTTATTTTGTGATATTTCTGCCTCTCTTCTCTCATCTTTTTTTTTTTATTTTTCTTTTGATGACATTAATTATATATAATTTCATTATTTTGCAAATTCGTAAATAAAAATATAATTTCCTTCACTTCGACTTTGAAAATTGAAATATCGACGAAGTTAGAAGTCAATTTATTAATCTTCAATTTCTCCAAATAAATTTTTAATTATTTTGTTATTAGTAATAAAAAAAACATTTATTTAACTATTTGCTTATACGTACTTTAATAAATGTTTTGAATTCAAAAAATACGTGTAAACAAATATATTAATTGTTATTTTTTTAAAAGAAAGGATTTTTATTAATTATAGCTTAGAAATATATAGCTTAAAACAACTGTGATATTTAACCGGAACGTACAGAGTCATCTGAAGATAGAAGCAGATACTTTTCGGCAAACTGCAATTATCACACGATGATAAACGAAGAACTAATCAATTGAATTTTATAAATGGATTATTATAAAACATGTGCCAAATTTTTTTTTCACACAAGTTTTATAATAATTATTCGATTTATTTTGTTAGTGTTACTAGATATTACTAGATATGTGTTACTAGATATAAGTATTAAATTGAATGTGAATTATGACTGCTATTTATGACCAAGTTACACTGAACTGAAATAAACTGGGTGCTATTGCTTGTTTCTGGGTTAATATTCGTAGAGTTTAAACTTGTTTAAAAATTTTTAAAGTTTTCTTTATTAAAAAAATTATTAGAAAATGGACAGTTTAATGGACTTCGCAAAGCGAAATTTACACTTAAGCGTTACACTTAAGCTTATTGGATGATAACAACTAATAATTATTTCTGACAACGATATATATACGATGGTATATGTATGACGTATAGCAAACTATAATTCTGTAGATAATATAAATTTAAACATAGGATTTTATAGCGTTAATAAAATTATAGTTTATACGATAGGATTAATTTTTGGCAATGAGAATTAATTTAGACGCAACATGATATCGATTTCTCGCGCGACACCTTCAACGAATATAAAGACCAGTTTATGAATTATTCCTGATTTGGCTCTCCATTTATGGAGAGTATAGATTATCTTGTTCAATCGACGAATCCGGATTTTGGTACATTCTTCGATGTAAAAAGAAACTGGTTTCTTCTTTCTTGGTATATTAATAAATACAATACGAACGCCTATATTCCTATTGAGTTAATTAAATATTAATTTAGTAGAAAATGTTTTACATATTTTAAAAAAAAAGTATCAAACTCTATTTACTCTAACATCTCAGATTTATTTAATGCATCCAATGCATTCCGTAAACTGTCGAACGTATAATTTTATTTAATAAAACAATAATCCAATGACTAATCTCATTAGTGCAGTTCCGATCACGATCACGACCATACAGCCATTACACACTAGAAAAATAGAACTACCCCTTTTTCGATTTCAACCATTGAATTTTTTTTTAAGGC